GAATGCCGATATAATTAGAATTTCGCTAACATTTTAACTTTCTGACATTCAGGCTATTTTCAGAGTGAATTTTAATTTTCAATTGGGCGTATGTGAAAGGATATTCCAGAGGAAGAAGTATAAAAGAAAAACATTAATCTTAGCAGTATTTAGCAAATTCTAACTCAGGAACAACTTCCATCATAACAATTTGTTTTACGCTATATTGTGAAGAGTGGCATTGCTATGTAAATTTGCTGACTCTTAGTATCTGTGGTTATTATCATTTCTGACAGAACCCCTATGCTGACATCTAATGAACATGCCTTAAACACTGGGATTAAGCAGGTGATAAATATGACCAGGATTTAGGGACTGATTTTATTCAAGATGGATTGGGATGACTAATTTTTACAAAACAAAAGAAAACAAAAAAAAAAAACCAACCCACCTAATATTGTAGGTAGCATTTGTCTCTAGTGCGGAGGGCGAGCTTCAGGCTTTTGGGAACCAAGGAGTACCTGAACTTTTTTCTTTGATAATTTGTTATACTGTATATAGATTGTAAATTACACCGTGGACCTTCTGAATTGTTGGGAACTTTATATAAGCATGGATAAATGGGGCACTGTTTATTTAACCTATTAAAGGGTTATTTCTTTGCTCTCATCATTTAGGGATGAGGAGATGAAGCCATTTCTTATCCTATAGATGTGAAGCACTTTCAGTTCTGAACTGTCCAAAATGTAGCATAACATTTCTCTGTACTTACTGATGTGTGCGTGTTTGTCTCACCGTGTCATGACATCTTAAAGATTGAACAACTGACTGCCTTTGTATAAACCTTCTTAATGCAAATCATTTAGGGAATTTAGAGTGTCTGTTTACGGTAGCGGTGGAGAACTCAAGTTTAGTATAGATGTCACAATAATATCCTGGTATCGACTACTAAAGTGTTTATGCTACATTCTTGTAATTAAACTATGATTTTTCCCCTATCCTATGAAGTGTTACATTTCATCTAATATGTGATCTATGAGATTAAGAAGGAAAATTGTTTTAATTTTTACTTTGCCTTTTGTATAAATAACCTCTGCTATCTTAAAGGGCTTTTTCATGGTCTTTTATAATAGCAAATTGGTGCCTGGAAAACAAAGCAAAGCAAGGGCTGTTTAGAGAGGCGAGGAGGATCTTAACTATCTTGCACTGAGGGATTTTCACTTTCTTTGGCAATCTGACCTGCTAGGGTAATGTAAGAGATGGAAGAGATCAAAGACAGAAGATGATGAAAGGGAAGAAAGCTAGAAACGCTAGAAAACCAGATGGCTGTGTAAATGAAGTAAAATACTTCTCTGCATGCACGATTTATCTGAATTTTGTGGTAGGTGTGTATCATAGGGCCGCTATTTGGTTGGTGCTAACTGAAATAGAGGAGGGGATGGTTTTTACAGTAGTTAACATCATTGGTATTGCTTTGTGCAGGATGGTGGGATGGGTGAAGGAAAGTGCAGCGAGTCATTTGTTTGAAAAGATGGTTTCAGTCTTCGGACCAGGCCTTTGAAGGGGTTAATAACTGAGCTTAGATGTGGGGAATAATGATACCTATTCCAGCTTAGTTTAGCGAGGAGGTCTACTTAAAAAAGGACAAAGGACTTGCAAGTGTAGCATTTTATTACTTTTGTCAAGAAGAAATCTCATATTTTCTAACTTTTCTCTTAGTTCATCACTGTAAGGATAGGTATTTCCCACAACTTCAAATTGTCATTTACTTGTCACCTTGAGTGTTTTGGGGATTTTCTTTTTGGGTGTGTTTTATTGTGGTGGATTGACCGTGGCTGGCTGCCAGATCCCCACCCAGCTGCTCTCTTACTCCTCTTCCTCAGCAGGAGGTGGGGGAGGGAATAGGATGGAAAAGCTTTTGGGTTGAGATAAGACACTAACTTCTTGCCATGTTAAAATAGAGTTGGATGGTGAGGAACAAAGAGAAAAACTGAGCCACCTTTCCCCTACCCTGCTTCTTCCCAGGCTGAACTTCACTCCTTTGTTCCTGACGCCTGCATCTTCCCCTCTTCCCTGACCAAGCCGCACAGGGGCTTGGGGAACGGGGGTTGTGGTCTATCCATAACAGTTCGTCTTCCCTGCTGCTCCTTCATGCTTTTCCCTGTTCTGATGTGGGTCCTCGCCATCGCCTGCAGTCTTTCGAGGATAAACCTGATCCGACGTGCGTTCCCCCTGGGCTATAGGTCCTGCCAGGAGCCTGCCTCAGGGTGGGGTCTGTGGGCTGCAGCTTCCTTCAGGGCACCTGCTCCAGCATGGAGTCCTCCCGGGGATGCAGGGTGGAGATCTGCTCCGGCTTGGACCTTCGTGGGCTGCGGGGTGGGGAGCTGCTCCAGCGTGGGCCTCCGTGGGCTGTGAGGTGGGGCTCTGCTCCAGTGT